GAATTTTATTTCATGCACCCAGGAAAAAAAAAAACGATAGTACAGGTTTGTGTGACGTAGTATTGATGGGGTATTTGGATTGATTGATTTCTCAAGCACCTGTAAAAATAGTAGCTATTCTGCCACAGGGCTCTCTGTATCAAATCGCTGCTACCAAATCAAATGGCCTGGTCAACAACCCACCAATTTATTCCTACCAGTACCAGTACTAGCACTAGTACTACTACTACTAGCTGGTACTATCTCGTAACGGTGAAGGAAATGCGAAATGCAGAATCACCGTCGAAACTGAATTTAGTGAGGAGGTTAGTCCAGCGAGTCAAGCTTGTCACGCTTTGATGGTGAAACAGTAACAATGGTCTTGAAAACATAAAATTCGAACACTTAAGGATAATATGGTTACACTAAGTCCGAACTTTCATGCCCGTCTTGTCTAATCTTCCGATCTGAAATCTGAAATCTCTTATTCGTGTTGGCTTCTACTTCGTATTGCTCACAGGTCGAGCTTTGTGCCGAGAGGCATAGCTTCTTTCCTTCCCGCCAGCACCCAAGCTAGCACCCAAGCCAGCACACAAAGCACAGGATAGGAAGCATTTAATTGCCCCCAAAGAACAAGAACGAGGAAGATATTTTTATTAGTAGTGTTGCAGAGGCAAAAGAAGCCAACGCCAGGCATCGACAAAACTACGAGTTCCCGATCATTCCTTCTGCTTCGAGCTGTGCTGTAGTAAACAGTAACGTGGGGTCGCATTTTGTTGTCGTTGTCATCATCTCAGACTATTTTCTCTGTTTGCACTTCGGATTGCTTCAAACACAAACGCAAACACAAACGCAAACACAAACACAAACACAAACACAACCCCTTCGCATGAATCAGCATCCGATCGCAATTTCCACGGAAACAAACAGACAACCGAAAGAAAACAAAGGGAACAAAGAGAACAAAGCAATACCACAACAAACCACAACACACCAGGATGGGAAAGAGCAACCGAGACAGTCCAACGCCGCTGTCACTGTCACTGTCAGTGTCACTGCTTCTGCCATCGATGGCGAGGCGAAGGCATTGTGCCTTCTCCCGTGCAAGCTCCCTCCACCCCGCACTGCTTGTCGCCCTCTTCCTGTTGGGGTGCGCCTGCTCTCCCTGGTGCTTCGTGCGCTCCGACGAGCTACCCGGATACGAACTCGAACGCGAACGCGATCACCAGCGCCAGCGCGGTCCCCGGGTCCTTTCCAAGGTTATCGAGGACGGAGACAAGGTTATCACGGAAGAATTGGTCAAGAATAACTTCGTTCTTGACTTTGTCCCGGAGTGCTCTTCTTCCGTCGTCGAGGACTACGACCCGGACAAAGAGATACGGACCTTCATCACCTTCAACGGGACGGCCTATCTCAATGCCTGGGCCTCCGACGAGGACTTCGAGTCGGCTCCCCGGTACGTCGAAGCGTTCAAGGGGATCAAATACGGTTCTGTCTACAAACGATTCGCCCGGTCCAAGCAGGCCTATGGATACAACTACGCCAGGTACAACACCACCGATGGCGGCAAAACCCGGGAGATCTTTATCAACGCCACCAAATTCGGGCCGAAGTGCATCCAGCCGGGTATCGAAGAAAAACACATGAAGGAGAACTGCTTGTACCTGAACATCTGGAGGCCTTCCCGGTGGAAGCAATCCCTCAACAAGACCTCTATTTGCCAACAGACATTCATGGGAAAGGGAAAATACAAAAAGGAATGCGAGGTCATTCTCACCACTCGGACCACCAACCCCGATGGATCCATCACACTCGTCGTCGACAAAAAGAACACGAGCGAAACTGTAAAAAAGGGTGGCAACTTCGATAAGGACGGGTCAATCTATGACGAGAACACAGATGTGCTGAACAACAATTCAGACGAGAAGCTCAGCGATGGAGAGAAGAAGAAAAAGGACGGCGTCGAGAGGCGACGGGCAATGCGCGGAGCAGGGCTCCCTGGAGGCCTTGCCAGCGAGGTAACGCGGGAGCTGCAGGGAAACAACATGGGCAGCACCTTCGATGACCTCGAAGACTCGCTGAAAGACCTCAACGATCTCATCGAGGGCAGCGAGGACAGCGGGGACGACGAAGACAGCGAAGAGAATAGCATAGAAGATGCGAACAACAACACGCTCACTGGAATCGGCACGTATGCGATAGACCGCAGCGGACTGCTCCCCGTAATGGTGTACATCCACGGGGGGGGATTTACAGTGGGATCCGGAAGTGATCCTATGTTCAACGGGGCCAAGGTCGCCAGCCGTGGTCAGGTCATCGTTATCACGCTTAACTACCGGCTGGGGGTCTTTGGCTTTTTGCCGACCTTCGGCCGGGACCAGTGGAAGATCAACGGAGGGATGAATGGCTTCATGGATATTGTTAACGCACTGTTATGGATCCACCGCAACATTATTCAGTGGGGAGGCAACCCCAAGAAGATCACCATCGTTGGCCCGTCCAGCACCCCTGCTGTGTGCCTGGCAACCATGTGCCCCCTCCTGGTAGGAAAGTTCCAGAGAGCGATCCTCACCAGCTCGATCCGGGAAACAGAGCTCGAAAACGGAAGCGTGGTCACCCGGAACGGCGTCAGTGGTGCTTCCTGTCTGACGAGTGAGCAGGAACCCTATCAACCACTCGAGGGCCGTATCGAGATCACCGATAAGTTCCTCGATTACATCAACGAAACGCACTACAATTACCCGCAGAACCCCGATCCGACTCGACAAGACCTCATCGATTGGTTGTCGAGCTTGGCGCAAAACTCGACAGAGATTCTGCAGATTGCCAACGACGAGAACACAGTCTTCGTTCCCCAGCGGCCGGCCCACGAGTTCGACTACAACCGGGACGGGAACATAACATTTACCCAGCAGCGACGGACCTTTATGACCTGGGATAACGAGGTATTCCCCCGGTTGCCCGTCGAGCTGGAAGACATCAACCCGATCGACATGATTGTGGGGGTCCGGGGGAACCACAAGAACAAGGGAGAGGCCCCCAAGAAGGTCAAGAAACCACCCAAACAGAAGAAACCCAACAGCAACAAAGGTAACAACAGACAGCAATCCGATGAGGCCATCCTATCGGAGAGCAATTTTAAATCCAGTGAAGACGCGCCAAACAATGTCATGATTATTCGCAAGCTTGAAGCAGCAGCGGATGCTAAGGGTAACGAAACGGAGGAGGACGATGCCTTCCTGGCCGACTTTTCCGAAACCAACGGTATAGATTGTGGGAATGCGACGGCCGAAGGCGGGAGAGGAAACGAAACCGAGTGCGAGGAAGAGTTATATGAGTACGTCTTTGATTTCAGCGGGACAACCAGCGACCAGGATCTGTGCGTTAGCAAGCAGTTTGCTGAGATCGCCGCTCGCAACGTCGAGGGCAACGTATATGGGTACGTTTTCGACGATGGAACCGAACTTCACGGGGACCGACGGTTGCAGAGTCTGTATATAGAGGAAAGTCCAAACCACCTCCGAGAACTCGCGAAATCCTATGAACAAGTGAAATACGACACATTCCGTAAATCACACCCGTATTACGAGGGCAGGGAAACTGATTTTTACGACGAGGAGTCCATATACTTTTTTGACAACCTCTCGATGGATGGATCGAATTTCAACGGCAAGTCTAAGTTCGTGCTGATGCGGAAAGAACTATTCAACCGATGGATTAACTTTGCAAAGACGGGAATACCTAGGTACTCGGGCCGAACCGATCGTGAGTCCAACAAGTACGCCACGTGGGAAGCCTTCCCTAAGGGCAAAGTTGGCAGTGACACGAACGACGACATCGTACCGTCCTATCTCTATATGCCCGCCGAGCTCAACGGCGGGAAGGGCCAGAGACGAAGCAAGATGATATCTTTGGATGAACTGGTGTCCAACCACGCACTAACTAAATCCAGAGCTAGCGGCACAGATATTTGCACGTGGGTTCTGGAGGAAGAAAATGACGACGACGGAGCATTCGTTGAAGTTCTATTGGACTTCAACGCCAACACCGCCTTTGACTACTACGTGACTATCCTGGCCACAATGAACCCGACCATCAACTACGTTCCCGATCGGGAATACTTGGCCGAGCTTCCACCCACTCTATCTCCAACCACACTGTCCTACTTTGTGGACCAGTCAATCCTTAAATCGGCGGCTGTACCACCACCCCTGTTGGATGCGATGGTTTCGGTGACCATGGTTGTGGCGGCATTTGCAGCGGTAGCATTGGGTTAAGTCATTTTGGGGGTCGCTCTGGGAGGTCGATCGGTGTATCTCAATCCGTCATTCACGCAACGCATCGCAGCGACGAAGAGTTCTCTTCCTTCCTCCAATAATCATGACCTCCTTTTCGGAACTCGATTCCTTCCTCGTCAAATTTTCTGTACTGGCTTTTACATGAGGAACATTTCATGTATCAGATCTTTTTCATATTCAACTCTTTCTCTCGTTCCGCCTTATGTGCACGGCAGCAATCTTCAACCAGCAGAGGGGCTGCCCTTACCCAATCCTTTTGTACATCTACGGTACGTCACACTTTGCATCTCTCTCTCTCTCTCTTTCAGATCTTGCTGCTTGACGGCGAACCATTAGAATTGTTCCGGCAGCATCAGTTTATATGCAACCAAGAAACAGTTGATGTGTTGCCTTGAACTGATAGACAATATTCTGCACTTTAACGCAACGGGAGGCACTAGGATTTCATTGTGTAACGGGACAGATGTGACTCTTTCGCATTGCCAAGATGAGACCCTCTTCACGATCTCTCTGATGCACTCGGAATTGTTAAACAGACACTACTGGTAATAATGATCACTAGTGATGATCTAGCCATTCACACCACAAAGATAAAATCTGATCACATGGTCAATCATGAAATTTATTGATGTTATTGATTACACGAATTTGTTCACTATGTTTACATGTATGATGTGAAGGATGCAATTCATCACCCATTGGATGGCTTCTTCTGTCTCCTTCGTCGCGCGCCACGAAGCTCAAAACTTATTCGACGTTAACAACCGCTCCGTTGATGCCGAAGCCTTTGATTTCTGCTGCTGTATGTTTTTCGACGTGGAAAGATCGAGAGCGGAAGCCACGGGACGAATTATCGTTCCCATGTTTCCCCCAATCTTTGCCATTGGCTTCTTACGAATCATTCATCTGCACACGGCCTATGTCATTGCCGAAGCTTTTGATTTCTTCCCCTGTTTGTTTTTTCGACGTGAAAAGATAGACCGCAAGCCACGTGATGAATTATTGGTGGCATGTTTCCCTCTATTTTTTCCATCGGCTTCTTCCGAATCATTCTTGCTTAATACCCATTCAATCTCTGCATGGATTGGGGATTCGGGAGCTTCATCTCGGACGGCGGAATTGCCTTCGGCTACTTTTTCCGTAATGTTTCTTTCTTCCTTTGTGGATTTTCGTATCTCGTCCACCTCAAAATATGAGCTATCAGTTGCTCCATCCCCAACCCCAACTGCTGGTAGATTCTTCGTTGTTGAAGATACGGAAAAGTCATTTTTGACATTCGGAGAAAAAATACCCCCGATGTATTCGAAGACTTCTGCAATTTTGTTTTCGGATTCAATTTTGCTACCGGTTTCGGTTTTAGCAGTCAGATCTGCCATGGAAGAAAAAAAACCACACGAGGGGAGAAGGCCTGGATCTGTATCGCTGGTCTMAACTTTTTGAATGGGCGGTATGGAAATGACGGACGACTTTTCTTGCCCTGTTGTATCGTCCCGTGCATCTGGTTCTTGGTCGCAGTCTGCATATTCTGGTACGCTTATAACAACATCCTTGTTGCTGATATTGTTAGTGGTAGAAACCTTCCGCCCACCGGTCGTATCGGCAATCTTCATCTCGATGGCGTTTGCAGACTTTTCGCTTGGCTTGAATTCTGGTTCTTCATCGCAGTCTGCGTATTCAGGCATTTTAGTCTTCTTGACCGTATTGCAGTTCTTGGATGTTTCTTTTCTCGTTTCGCTTGACCCCCCCATAGCAGCCACCCCTTCTCCCATCACTATCTCAAACTCCTCTTTTGGCACGTGGGGAGTTTGATGTGTGTCCAATTTTGATGGTGAAGCGCTATCGACAGTTGATCCTGGGTTTTTGGTCGTCGAGACAACTAAAATGGTTGGTTCTTCCGACAGCAACGACTCGCGACATGTCTCACCACCATCGGTACAGTCATCATCTGAATACGATTCGAAATCGGAAAAAACAATGTGCTCATCTTCGTCGTCCGAAAAAAAAATGGATCTTGCTGCCGAACGCATCGATTCCGAGGTTGCTTTCGCGGCACTGACAAGAAACTTGGTCGTAGGGGTCATCATGTCCCAGTTATTGTTGTTGGTTGCGGAAGCCAGGGGCTTTTTGATCTTTTGGTTTTTGGAAGAAGTGTTCAAAGACACTTGCTCGCTGGATGGATCAAGAGCAGTAGTGGAAGTCGGTGGGAGAGGAGGAAGTCCCTTCTTACGCATGGTAGAATTTACAGGCGAAGCAGCATCCGAAGCTGGAGGAGTATTAGTATATTTGCCATTCTTTTGAAACGGAGGGAGAGCAAAGACAGTATTCGATTTGATAGATTCATCCCCATACTCTGGTGTGTTCTTACCGCATGTCTGTGAATTTTGTTTTTTTGTTCTATTCTTTTTTTTCTGCATTCGATTGTTGTTGCCAGTGTTGACGTTTTCATTGCAATCATTGTCACGTGTAGAAGATGAATTTCTCTCCGGTCGTTTCCTTTGGAATGGTAACAGACGATCGGGTTTGTTGTTCTTCTTGTTGTTTTTGGTTGAAGATGTGTTGCGTTCGGAAGAAATATCGCCGCTGGCGACGGTGGAATAGGTAGATTCAGAAAATAGGCTAGTGCCTCCATTCCTGGTATAATCGGTGTACGAACCACTGTTGCTACTCTCGTCACTTTCGCTGTCACTATTTTCGGTGCTGTCATCACAGCTGAAGACGCGATCGGTTTCGTCATCGTACGTTGCTTCGGTGCCTTCAAAGGTTGTAGTGTGGTACTGCAGCAAGGACTCATCGAAATCAATGGATGGCAAATTTAATCTTGGAGGATTATTGTACGCTGTACTTCCACCCAAAGTGTTATTTGCATTGGTATACGTGCCTCCGATGGTGGTACCATCGGGCACGTACCAATCTCTTGTTTCGTTGTCGTCGTCGTTGATTTTTTCCGCTCTCTTCGCTTTGTCTTCAACATAAGTTTGCTCGTAGGTGGCAGCGCCCTCGAGGACAGTTTGTTCGAATGTCGTGTCCCCGAGGACAGTGGTTTGCTCGAAGGTTGATGCATATCTGTCGTCGGCCAATCCAATCGATAACGAGTCTGAATCACATCGATCTGACATCCTGAAGTCTTCTTTTTTTTTGTAGTTCTTGTCAGTGGTTATGGTTTCATCGAACACCCCGCTTTCATCAAGGCTATCATCTTCGTCGGACGATAAGTACTTGGCAAACGAAGAAGGATCGATCGTACTGTTTGAAGTGTATTTTCGGTAGTTGAATCCCTTTTGTTTTTGTGGTTGTTGTTGTGGTTGCCGATCATGGTCTTGTGGTACATCTTGGTGAGTAGGGGGAGTATCAACCAACGCTTTCCCACGAAACATCGCAAATGGAGTATTCTTCTTCTTCTTCTTCTTCTTCTTCTTGTCTTTCTTCTTCTTGTTGTTATTATTGTTCTTCTTCTTCTTGGCATCCTCCGCTCCTCCTTCCTTCATCATGTGGTCTAAGATAGCACTGAAGGCCTGGATTTCTTCGGGAGATGCTGTCGCCGCTGCCGCCGCTGTAGCCGCATTGGCATCGGCCGAGTTTTGCCCCACGCAAAATACAGTGTCACTAAGAATACTGATTGTTTCGCTGCTTGAGCTTTCTGTAGGCATAAGTGGGAGTCCTAGTTGGCGTGGATGTGCAGATGATGATGTCTTTCCTTGCTTCGAAGCAAAGTAGTTGTCTCCGTGGCGATCGCCTTCTAGTACTTCCCCGGCGAAAGACATTCTTGCGTGCGACGAGACAACACCATTTCGGTGCTTGCACAAGAGAGAAGAATGTTTGCTACCTTTATTCTTGTGACTGCGATTGTGGTCGCTGGCAGTGGCGTCCTTTTTGTGTTTAGGCTTCTGTTTGGGAGAGCTTCGTACCGCAGTATCTGGAAATTCGCGACGAAATGGTGCGTAGAGTTCCCTTTTGGCTTCGTTGGCTTCGTCATCGCCACCATCGCTATATGATACAACATACATTGGCTTCAACGCTTTCTTTTGCTTCCTCTTGCTTCTCACCTTGTTGCTTTTTTTGTTTGGAATAGAAGGAGCACCGTCTGCGGAAGTTTCCACAACCGGACGACGACGCTGTGTTGATGTTCTAACGGGTTTTGCCATTGTTGGATGGTTTGAGTAGTGTTGCCTGGTATATGTTATGAGTTATGTTCTGGTGTATCCGAGTATTGCAAAAAGACTATCTGCTTTTTGATGTTCTTGAAATTAATACTGATTGCGGATGATCTCATAGATTCGATTCCACTACAATCAGATAACGAAAGGGGCACCGATTACCTTTTCTAGCTGCTATGAAGTAAATGTGATGCGATGAATCGAAGCAATCGTTTTTTTGCGTGAATCGGATTGTTCTTTTGTGACTGATTCTTCGTATACAGTACACGACTTCACGTCGCCGGCGTTTGCGTTTGTGTTTGCGTTTGCGATCGTACTTTTTTGTTCTTGCTCGTGTGCTTTGAAAAGTACATGCGTTGTTCCTGTCGTCCTTCTCCTCTCGTCGCCAGTGAAGTGTTTTTCAATGTCTCCAACAGTGCCTTGGGGATTGTATTAAATTATTGATACCTTGTATTTGCGCAATCAATGGCTCAATACTAGAAGCAAGACATGCGAAGATACGAACGTCACCAAACGGTTCAAAAGGCATACAGTGTCATCAACGATTACTCCACTCAAATGGTAACGTATTTTTCGTACGCGGCATTCGACGGAATGGTATTGCAGACCCAATAATATCGCATCGTGACTTCCGGCCGTAAACTTGCGCTCGTCCGACGCCCGCGCAACGTATCGCCAAAAGTATGAAGATCGGCGATAGAATGGTATGTTGTTAATAATTATCTCTTCTTAAAAAATACCGATACTATATCATCCTGCTTTGCGCGCGACCAAACAAATTGGAATATAATAAGAACTGAGTTTTCACAAGATGATCCTGTGGGCATATTATCGCTATGGGTCGGGTAGGCTACGATTGGTTGAGCTCGTTACAAGTCCGACTTTTTCAAAAAAATGAACAATTTTTTCAGCGATTTCGTCAGTTTTCCAACCTAAACGAAATTGACGTTCTTCACCGTAGATCTACCGATAGTATGGTGTGAGACTGGGTGACTGTTTTCCTTGCAGGAAAACAGCCTCTGTAACGAGCCCTTTGCTTAGTTTCCCAGAAACTCTACTGTTACTCGGTATAGGGTGTGCTGGTGGGTTAAGCAGGTCTTAAGGGAAACTGCAACAACCCCCAACTCTCTTCCACGTGGAGGGGCCTTGTCCCTTAGGGTTAAGGCTTGGAGAGGAGGGGAAGCAGCAGCCTCCTTGAGCCTGCTAATCCTACACCGCTGGCACACGCATACTGTGTAACGAGCTGCCAAACTGGGCCAAAGCCCACAGGGAGGGAGCAAAGCGCGGGTTGGGAGGCGCCGGTCGGAGTGCAAGGCGGTGGGAAGCCAGCAGCGAGCGCTAGGCAGCTGAGGGGACCGATTCCTCGGGGAGGAAGCTGTAGGCGCCAGTGTTAAACATGAGGGACGCTAGGTTTCGGAACAGGGGGACCGATTGCTGGTGGAGATATCGCATCATGGCATCACTGTGCCATCTTGCGAGGAGCTTGATTACGTTGGAGTCACAGCGGCCCTGAAGGAGGGCCATTGCCCCCCCTGCGCGCAAGGAGCGGGCACTCAGGGAGGCCGGTGGGATGCCTGTTGCGTGTTGAAGGATGGCGGCGTGCCGCCGCATCGTTGTTGTAATCATTCGGGAGGTAATTCGCACATTGGAACCGTCGTCGGCATAAAAACTAGCTAGCTTGATGGAACTATCGTAAGGTTCGGTCTGTCGGCGGTGGAGTAAGAATTGTCGAACGACGGCGGTTACTGGGCAGCACAGGGGGTCGGAGCTCCTCGAGTGAGCAATGACATCCCCTTTGATCCCATTTTTCTGAGTGGTGAAAGTGAGCTGGATGGATGTGGAGGCACTGATCTCTGCCTCAGAAGCAGCCTCCGAGGATAGGCGTCTGGCGCCCACGAAGAAGGCCACATCGGCGAGCGAGAAGGCTTGGTCGTCTGAAGTGGTACCTGTGTATTCCCCTGGCCGTAGGCAGAAGAAGAAGGCAATGCAAATCATATTGGCAATCGCCTGGCGCTCCAGTGTAGGGCTACGATTATAGGCAAAGTTGAGGACATGGATCACGAGTGTGATAGGAACGGGCTTCACCCTGGAAGGGGGTTTGTCCCTGATTTTGTAAGCTCACAGTTGTGAGGCAAGCCGATAGTCTATTGTGCCGAACTTGTTGAGCCGGGGGTCTTGGGCCCCCATGCAGGTGATCTTCTGGCCCACTGAACGGATGGCGTCACATACGGTATGAGCCCTTGCACATTTACCACTGGGTGATAGTCGTCCATCTTTGTAGCGGGCTCCAAAGACTTGCAGGTAAGGCACTGGGTCTGTGGCGGTGCGGAGGAAGGGATCCAGTTTTTGCGACATGCAATACTGAAACCAGCATCCCCAATGGGAATCCTTTTTCTTGGCATATCCCACAGTGACACTGGCTCGCATTTCCGTTTGGATAAGGCGGAGATCAGTGCGGAATACATGGGCTTCCTGAGGCGGCAGTTTTTCCAGGGCAAGCTCTGTGGAAAGTGTCGTTCGAAGTAAGCAAGAAGCTGTGAGTCAGTGAGGTGCCAAGCACGAGACAGTGTATCCGCCATTACATTGGCTGGGCCTGGGATGTAGTCGTGTCGGGGTACATAACGGAAGTTACGTTGGTGGAGGGACTGTAACCTTAGGAGGTAGGCCACGGGGCCGGTGGTGGTAGCAGCCCCTTTGCGTTGCCAGTGGACTGTGGCCGTGTTATCATAGAGGTTATGAACTGTCCTTTCCGTGACCACGGCGGTTTGGGCTAGGATATCCACGTGAGCAACAGAGCCTGCTAGTTCTAACTCGCTGTTAGTGACGGTTCCGTTGGGTCTTTCAAAGGAGACCAGCTCGGCTCGAATCCAGGCCGGGAACCGTACCCTCCAGTACAAGGGCTGGATGCTGCCGGTTTCTGTGGGGACAAAGTGAACTCCTCCCATCCTAGCTCACATGCCCCAATGGTGGCAGGCCATAGATCTGGCACCAGTTCAGCAATTTGTGTGGGTCTGGATGCAATATCATTCGCTAGCCATCTGAAGTCCTCAAGAAAACTGTGGAGAGCTTTGGTCAATCGGAGCCGGCCCCGTCCCTTTTCCTGATGTCGTAGGGCCTCCTGTAGCAAGGAGAACAGGCCAAGGGAACCCGGTAGGGCTATGGACATAGATCTCAGTTCCCCGAGTAGCTTGTGCCAGTCAGCCACTGCAGCATATTTTTGCTGTGGTTGAATGGACTGGAGCAGGCCTCGAAGCCGCTCCACCCGGTGGGGGGGGAGGCTGATAGTCTTGTCCACGGTGTTAACTAGCCAACCTAGTATTACCTTGGATGTTGACCACGTTGCATCCCCCTTCTTGAGCTTCTTGATGGATGCTGGCTCCTGTCGAAAGGGAGTGTCAAGGGCATCCAGGGGCCTGAAGACCTGATCCAAGGAGTGGAATAAGGTCCGTTTTACGGCACGCCTGGTCCACTGGTTCCCTTGGACTAGTCCACAGAAGTCATCTACATAGATGTCCCAGTATTTGAGAGGTTTTCGAGCAGGGAAGCTGGCTTCACGGGCGGAGGATCGGAGCTCCCTTGCATCCGTGTTGTCCGCTTCTTCTTCGACCGGGGGAGTTTCGGAGACTTCATCTAGCCGGTGCGGAGACTGTCTCATCCGTTGAAGGCCTCCAGGCTGGTTTAGTACTTCATTGGCCAGGTCGGCTACCGTTTCCGTGCAAGCACTGAAGTTCGGTGGGGATGAGCACCAGCCCATAGGGTTCGTTAGGGGGATTCCCACAAGTGGTAGTTCCCCTTCCCGGGCTGGGAATAAGACTGCTAAACTGAGTGTGTCTTCCGGCTTCACCCAGAGCCTGTAAAACCCATCCGAGAGGTCTATTTTGGACAGGTAGACCGGACCGAACCTACTGCTGGCTCGGTGGATCCTTTGGAGGAGACGGTTGAGGGCTCGCCCAAATTGCATGGCCTCCGCAGGTGCGAGGGGTGCAGTCTCATCGTTTACTCCAAAGTAGCTGTAGTCAGAGATTATTTGGTCCCTTCTTCCCCGCTGTGGAACGAGTCCAAGGGGGCTCAGTCGAAGCCCTGGGATCTCTTTGACTAGGTTCGCAGGTAGGACAGTCCATTGTTGCTTATCCATCATATCTGCATACTCCTCCCGGAGGAATTCAATCCCGTTATGTGAGGATTTATGGGGGCCCCTGGCGAGGGCCCCCACTATACGGGCTGGCTCCCAGTCCGGTGTTGTCATTACGGCGGGGGTTCCTTCCTGCTGGAAACTGTGTAGGAGGGAAGCCGCTGGGTGCTTGAGCTCCCCTACGGCCGGGTGGAGGTCTCCTCTTCCTCTGACTGATCGTACAAAGTCCCCCCAACTGTTAGCTTGGTGGAAGGCCTTGACTGCTTTGGCTACATGAGCATTGAGACGGTCATACGGATAAGTGCTGGTGGTTCGCCGCGTTTGGCTGGTCGGTGTTGTCGTGTGGGGGACCCTGGTAGTATCGGGCTCGGCCCTCAGGGGGACCAAATCTCCGGGTTCCGGGGTTGGGTCCCTGGGGCCTTTGGTGTCCTGCTGCTTGGGTCCTGTTCCAGTGTAGTCTCGGCTCTTGTCTGGTACGTGGTGATTAGAGTTAGGGAGTACAGGAACGGGCTCCTGCCTCCCTTTACGATTGTGAGGGATGTGCTCTCGTGTACACTGCTTACCTAGTTCTACGGGTGTGTGAGTCATCTCCCAGTCAACTGCGGTGGATTGCACCAGCCTTCTTCTCTTTGGCGAAGGCAATGGCACAGCAGTCGCTTGAGGAGCAGGCTGCCTGCCCCCCTTTCATTGTTCAGTGCTGTAGGCTTCTTGGCACCAGGCCCAGAACCTATCGTTTTCTTCCTCCGTGGATTCCTTGTGATCATAGCTCAATCTGCAGCCATCGTAACAGAAGCCTTTAGCACGCCATGAGTGGCACATTTCCTTGTTATCGTTGCGGAGGCAAGGCCCCTTCCCTTTGGTCTTCATCGTAGTCATA